CGCCACATCTCCTCTTCTTCCTCTTGCTCTGAAGCTCTTCCTCCCCCTCCCATTCCCTCTCTCAGCAGAGTCGTCGTTACCGGTACGGTAATACCGGTAATACCCACTCCACTTTAACGATTCAATGCTTCAATTGGTTTATTGTTGTTTGCATGTTTTGGCATAGAATTATTACTGTTGGGTGCTGGTCTGTTTCAGGTCTGGGGTTGGTGACTCCGCTTGGTTGCGGTGTGGAAACGACATGGAAGCGGTTGATAGAGGGCAATTGTGGGATAAGGGCGATAACGCCTGAAGATCTCAAGATGGGTGCTTTTGGTAGAGAGACTCCGTTGCATATATTTGATCAACTGACTTCTAAAGTTGCGGCAACTGTGCCATGTGGAATGGGCTCCGGTGATTTCAATGAAGAATTGTGGCTTATTTCAAAGGTTATATCCTCCACTTCTACTGTTTTTTTTTTTTTTTTGGTCATTCATAATATGAGTCTTGAGTTTTTCTGTTTATCCGAATATAAATGGATGCTACTTCAATGATTTTTTTATGGTAGAATTTCTCCGGTTTGGGGGATAAAAGAGTTTAGATCGAAATTAGAGCTTTTTTATCTTTAGGAAATTAGTCATTGAAGCTGCAAACGCAAGTGGTTTTAGAGCTGAATTTTCAGCTGTCATATTGCTGATGGAAATTAGGTGAAGCTTCACCTTAAACCGACTGTAAGATTACCATGGCTTTGCGTGTCCTTCAGGCGTCTGAATAAGAAAGGGACATCCTTGGCATCTTTCACAGTGATAGTACTTCTAGTTGTCTGGCGGTGAAATGCCAATATGCTTAATTTAGTTTAGATACATATGCAGTGTCCAACACCTTGCTGGATGACTTGTATTCCATGATTAGCTGTTGACTTTAATTTTTTTAAGGCTTACCACATATATTGAAATGATTGAGTTTGTACATGTTGTTGGTTCCTTGTGTCATTAACAACAATCTTTGTTTCTAGGAGCATCGATCAATTGCAAGGTTCATAGCCTATGCTCTTTGTGCAGCTGATGAAGCTTTAAAAGATGCAAGATGGCTGCCCATTAAGCAGGAAGAGAAGGAAAGAACGGTAGTCATTTGTTTACTTCTATGTCTTTTTTATCCTTTCTCTTTCAGAATTTAATAAATTTTCTAAAAGCAGGGCATGTCCATTGGTGGAGGGATTGGGAGCATCAGTGATATATTAGATGCAGCACAAATGATATGTGAAAAGGTTGTTTTATCATGATACTCAATTTGATTATGATTATTGCTACTATCATGGTTTCTTGTGTCTTCATCATCTTCGGCAGTTCCCGCTACATTAGCTATTGACTTGAAATCATGCCACTTGGCTATGTAAACAGTTGAAATGACAAGTGAAAGGTCTGCTCTTTGAATACAGCGCCTTCATTGGCTCAGTCCATTCTTCATTCCAAGGATATTAATCAACATGGCATCTGGTCATGTGAGCATGAAATATGGATTCCAGGTGTGTATGTAACCTCCAAATGTGATATTTTTAGGAGCTTATGACAACTTTAAGCCAATCATGCAGCTAGTTTGTGATGCCGTACTTTGCTTGCAATAACTTGTTGAAAGGAGACTCAATTCCCCGGGGATCTCAGTCCCCTGTTAGGTTCACTTTTATTAAATAACCCTTTTGAGCTTGGTATAGAACTTTTGTGGTTCTAAAATATAAATTATGAATTTCAAATGTTAGTCATTAGACTTGGTCTGGATTAGTTTGCTACATGAAATGTGGATGAATTATGGAAATTTCCTGGTATAATGCACAAATCTGGTAATGGAGTCCCAATCAAAGAATAAGGAAAATCCAGAACATGGTTGGCAGCAAGAAGCTGTTACCTCATGCTTCCTTGTTTCAATTTCTTAACAAATGCTTTTATAAGGTGGATAATATTCTTAAAAGAAAAACTTAGTTTGCTGAATCTGTCCTCATCATGCTTGGACAAAAACAGTTCTACCATGGTTGTGATAGCTTTTGAAAAGTTGCTCTTGCAATGTCTAGTCATGTTTTTGAATATAGGGACCAAACCATGCTGCAGTGACAGCTTGTGCAACTGGTGCACATTCTATTGATGATGCTACTAGAATGATTCAGTTTGGGGATTCAGATGTTATGGTTGCTGGGGGCACAGAGTCCAGCATTGATGCTTTATCAATAGCTGGATTTTGCA